TGATGTTCACGAAGAATTCTTGACCTAAATTTTTCTCACTTAGTTGGATAAGCGGGCGATGAAAGCTCAAGAATATTACTGGCTGTTGAATGGAGAGAGAATACTTATATAGGCAGCAGGTAACTCCTCCCTCCTCCTTAGCTATGCGGCAAGCATTATATTTTATAGATTTTAAATATTAAAATGGTATTTGAAGACTTTTTTTTGATAACCCATATGATACAGAGTTTGTATTTACGTTTAGTTTCGTGTTTGTATTTGGTTTCGTGAGCAATCAAAGCCGCCATTTTCTTAAAAATAGACCATCCGGTTATATATATATTAATTACACTCACTCACTGTCTTAACGTGCCCGCCCTCCCACCTGATAGAAAAAACTATCCTTCCTTCTTTTATTTATCTCCGGGTATTAAGTCTTCGGTCGGTTGTACAAGTATTATTAAAACAAAATCTTATCTTTCATTTTTATACCCAAAAATGTGAATATACCTCAGTAAATAATAGGACACAGCTATTATGTACTCTTGGTACATAAAATATAAAAAAGTACATAAAACAGGATAAAGGTACATAAAAATGTGTTGTTACAAAATTAACTTGCTATTTTAGATATTATGGGTGAGGATAAGATCCTCGAAAAATACAAATACTATTATTTTTTTTAACAATAATATTTTGTACAATATAAAGTTTTGTTTTAATAATAATATACTACTGTTTTAGCTTCTCTATCTCCTCCTTTTTTTCTCATATTCCTCCTCATCATCTTCCTCCTCCTCTTCCTCCTCATTCTTTATTTGTATTTTCTCCTTTACACTTTTATCCTCCTCCTCCACTTTGTTTATCAGAAGGGAAGACTGGAGATTTTGTGTAGAAGGAAAATTAGTACTAGTTTTCCGACGAAGATGTTGCTTTTTAATGAGACGACGACGACGACTTTCCTCTTGCATTTTCTTAGTGGAACAAAGCTCCATTAAACATTGGTATATATACTTATCCTCAAATAAGAAATTTCTTTTTGGGAAGTTTTATTTGACTTAAAGAATATAATGCTGCATGATTTCTTAAATTAATAATTTTCATAAAATTGGATATATATTGTAAATGAACAGAATTATACAAAACTACAGGAGAATAATGGGCACTAATCAACCTTTTTATTTCATATTGCGTCATTAATCGAGAACCATATCCACAAATATTAAGAGAGTTATTTATTTAAAAAAAAACCTCAACAGTGGCCTCTTTTTGCGGGTTATATATAATATAACTATTATATTTTAAAGGATTTTTTCTAAAAATCCAGCCCATTGGGAAAACTACAGTTTGAAATATAATTCCTTCTTCATTAATGCCCCAATCCCTCTCATTTTTATATATACGAAAACCATTCTCCTCGAGAAATTTAAAAACTTTTATATTGTCTATAACAAAAGTTTTATGTTTTATTAAGAGATTAATATATTTCTTATTTCTTTGCCTTTTTAATATATCTCTTATAGCTCGTTCGATACCGGAGGAAGATCTTATATTTTCTAAACAGATTGAACATTCTTTCCATGATGAAAGTTCATGAGGATGTATTGAATAAAGAGAAGAAAATTCAATAGAAGAAAATTCAAGTTCTCTTTCTAACATAACATCTACTATTCCTTTGTAAATAATTAGTGGTATATTTTGTAAACTGGTAATATTTTTGTAAGTGCTGTTTTTGTTTGAGATAATTGCGGATTTACAAAGTGTTTCTAAGCTAGGTAATAAACTCGTTGTATAAATTTCTTTTTCCTTATTTATAGAATATTCAAGAGGGCTAGAGATTAGAAATGATTTTCCATAAAGACAATTTTCTCTGAACGGATGATAATCAAATACTAATCTCCCTAAATGAATACTTATTTTAGGTGTATATAATGGATCACAAATTATATAATTACTACAATTAAGAGAATTTTCAATGACACTCCATTTTGGCGGAAAAATGAGTTTATAATATGCTATATTAAATATATCTTTAAAGAAAAATTCAACCCCGAATCCATTGGAGTAAAGGTAATCTTTTACCTTTTCATTATTTATAGGAAATAATCTGTTCCTGACCCTTTTTAATGTATTTCTTTTTTCATATTTTTGAAAAATTATTTGAGTCTCATGATTCATCCAATCCTCAAATACTTGTTTTAAATGTAAATAATCATGCCCTGCGGGTTTTAACAATCTAGTTTCTTTAAAGATAAAATTGAAAATATTTTCTCTTTCTGACATTATAAATTTAGGAGGGTGATATATAAATAGCTTAATTTTTTTCTAAACTATATAATATATATAAAAAAAAAAATAAAAGAATTTAATGTTCTACCAGCGTTTCTTTTTTCCCATTGTACACATTTTTCGATCATGGCATGTTTGTTAAAAAAGATGGATTCGTCCCAACCGTTTATAATCAACATAGAAGGAAACATTGGAAGTGGAAAATCAACTTTAATTTCCTATTTAAAGGAAAAACTTTCTCCAACATATTTTGAATTTGTTTGTGAACCTCTTGGAGTTTGGGGAAATCTTTTAAATTTAATGTATGAAGATCCTAAAAAGTGGGCTTCTATTTTTCAATTTATGATTTTAATTTCATTTATGCCAACATATTTTAATATGTATATGAAAAATATTAACAAGAACAAACGTATTATTATAATGGAAAGATCAGTACATAGTGGATTGTGTTTTGTCGACTCATTAAATCGAGAAGAAAAAATATCTGATACAGAAAAGACAATTTACGAACGTGCCTATGAACAACTAAAACCATATTGCCATTCCAACTTAAATATTTATTTGAAATGTCAACCCAAAATTTGTTTTCAACGAATAGTAAAAAGACAAAGAAAGGGCGAACAAAATATATCATTATTATATTTAAATAATTTACACGAATGTCATGAAAATTGGTTATCTTCAAATTCTACTACAGTTGAAATACTAAATCATAATGATAATGTAGATATTGTGGGGATGAAATTGGTTAATATTTTAAAAAAACATCAAGAATATCCAAACATAAATAATATTTTAGCTGATACCAGAAAAATATTTTGTAAATAAAATGTGTAAAACCTTAGAGTTTCAAAGTATCTATAATTTCAGAGTTCTTATTTAAGAATTCTATAATATTTTCTTGTTTCTGGAGATCTTTAAATAGCATTGATAGAGATAAACGTTGTTGATTATCGGCAATATTCTCTTTATTATAAGCTCTAATTATCTGCAGTAACATATTATACCATTTTCTTCTTGTGGGTATATCGGTGGTTGGTGTATTATTGACAGTGACAGTTGTATAAATTTCAGAATAATTTTTTGTATTATTGGAAGTAATATCTTTTACTTGTAGTAAATTACTACACATATTTATAACTGTTACTATACCATAAAATGCGGGATAAATAAGCATATTTTCTCTTGACAGCCTTTTACGTTTATTAGTTTGTTGTCTTTTTATTTTTCTATTAAAAGGTATAACGAAATATTTATTAGAGTAATAAGTCTTTATTTTCTCACTCCCCTTGGTATAGTTAAATGGGTCAGATAAATTATCCTCTACATAAGAACTAGTCGGCATTACATTAATAATTTTTGGTAGAGATGGAGATTGTGATAACGGTGATGATGGTGGTGGTGGTGGTAGTAGTGGTAGTATAGTGCTTCTTGTTTTCATTATTTTATCAGGTATAATTAATGTTGGTGGAAATTGCGAAAAGTCGTCTCTTTTTTGTTTTTTTTGTCTCCTTAAAGGAGTTGGGGGAGGAAGAATAAATGCTTTTTCTGAAGGAATATATAATCCCCCAAAATCAATGAACTTTACCTTCAATGTTGAAGATAAGTTAATGAATACATTATACGGATGTATATCGTAATATGTACCACCAAAACAATCTCGAGCAATTTGTAATTGAATACGAATTAATTCTCTAGCAACTTGATTTAAGAACTGCTTACGTTTATACATAAGAGAATAGGTTTTCACTGCCTTTTTTAAAATGACCCAATCAGGAGGGTGTAAATACTCCATATCTATAAAACTTAAATGTGTGTCATTAGTGAATTTTGTTTTAAACTTTATTTCATTAACACTCAAAGGAACATATGGCGAACTTTTTTCGCTTATTATTTCACCGCTGGGATTATGTAATACTTTGGATATGCTATGATTTTTAATTGCGCGATACAGTTGAACGAATATTTCTTTACATAAAGTAGATGATAGTCGACTAACATTATATAATTCACGTAACTGATCTTTTTCATCGTAGAAATATTTTCTTGCAACTAAATGAGTTCCCCGAAATTGTTTAGTTAGTTCTGAGTTTTTCTTTAAAAATTCAGTTGTCCAGGGATAATAACGCCGGAATTTTTTCCATTTTCTTGGAAGATGCGGATCTAAAATTTCTTTCATAGGAACTGCTACAATCTTTACTTTACCATAGGAACCGGAACCTAAATGTTTAATTTCATTTCCTAAGGAAAAAGAACATTTTTTTCCTTTCTGTTTTTTTATTCGTTCACGAATTAGAGTAGAGTCCGAGGAATCCTTTTTTGCAACAAAACTTATTTCTGGAAGGGAAAATGGTAATGTGTTATTCAGCATATTTGTGGTAGTAGTAGTATTGATATTTTTAGTGCTTATGAGAGTAGTATTCTTAACCATTATATAGTTTATATATTTTTTTTATTTTTTTTATTTTTTTTATAAATTAAAAAGTAATGTATAATTGTTTGCTCCCTCCTTCGTAGTATTATAAAACCTAACCACCAACCCAGTTCCGGTGTAGGTCACACAGTGGCTTTAGTATAAATATGGTCCCATCCCACCACCACTTTACACATAAAAGCCCTGCTCCGTTGTAGTGTGGTGTAATATTGTAGGTATATAATAATATAAGTTTTATTTGTAAATTTTGCTTAAATGTATTATTAAAGTTTGTTTACAGTATAATATAACTTTTCAGGTAACATGGAGAATCAATTAAAGGAAAAGGATGCCATTCAACTGTCCCCTACAGAAATAGCAGCTGACTCTGTTACTACTGTTGAACAGAGCTCTGACACTGGTGGTGATGTTACGTACTCGGACACTGGTGCTACTGCTGCTGCTGCTGCTGAACAGAGCTCTGAGGGTGATTCAGGAACTGGTGATAAGAGCTCTGATACTGGTGGTGCTGTTGCTGCTGCTGAACAGAGCTTTGAGGGTGGTGCCGTTGCTGACTTAGGAACTGCTGAAAAGAATGCTGATATTGGTGGTGCTGTTGCTGACTCGGATATTGGTGTAAATTATTTCACCCTCCCCAACTCTGAATTTTATGACAAAATAATGGAGAAGAGAAAAAAAAGAAAGGTTCTTGCTGAAAATCTACCCCTATGTGGAAATTCTGCTTTTGAACAAATTACTAACGCTACTGGTGTATCTGTACCTGTTGATACAGATGACCGCATTAATGGGTGGCACAATTAGGCCCAATATTTTGAAGAAACTTTGTTACGATATTTAAATTAATAGTTTTGATACAAGTAAATTTAGAATCTGATTAATTTTCACAACAGAACCAATTTTACCCATTACTGTTATAAAATTTCACATTTCTAACTCGGAACTGATAATGATACTGCAGATGATACTACTGCTGAATACAGAGCAGGAATTGGACTGGCAGGAATTTGAACTGGTTCTAATAATACTGCTGCTGAATAGAGCTCTAATACTGGTGCTGTTGCTGACTCAGATATTGGTAGTGGATGACG